ACCATAATCTGATTATTTGGACGTCAATATTTAAGATTGTAAGATGTTTAGCAAAGAATATACCGAGAGAAAACCCGTCACATTATTGTTTTCTTAAACGCGTACTCTTCAAATTAAGTCTCAATGCTCCTCAGTACCAATTGAAAGTCTTATAAATGAGCCTAGGGTAATTTTATTTGAGTAATTAATTCCCCGAAAGCACGACTGAAGTATCATGATTTTATACACATTGAAAACCGAGTAAAAAGATAACAAAATGTTGAGGAATATTGTCATTCTCCATCACGCTTTAGTCTCTGGTTTAAATGCAAATGTTCTCGAAAGTCTCCAGGATGTAGAAATCTAGAGTAAATGTAATGAGTGCCTACCCACCGTGAGTGCGCATTGATTATGAAACTTGTTGATTTGAAGGATTCTGACGATGAGTCTCATTATTCTTATCTTTCTGCACAAATTTTGACCCAAATTAAACATCGTTTAAATGCGGGAGGGATGAAAGTAATTCAATTGTTTATCACTCAAGGCTCGTCTCTTAGACAAAAGGATACTTTATGATCAGACACCGACAAAAATATCGTTAGGCTCGTAAACATTACTTCGTATTTAAGGGCTAATTCTAAAAACTTGATGTATTTGACCGTGATTAAAAGGTGAGAACGAAAAGGTGACATCATACTCTATTTAAAAATAGTCTTATTTGTTTGGCACAATTAGATTTGAAAGCCAACACAATAAACTTGTGTGCTACAAATGGCCCATACTTTCCCGTATTAGTTTTCTATTTCCTTCAGTCTCGTCTATTCGGTCTAGCCACATACTTTAGCCAGCTGCCATCTATCCGCCGCCCAATGTTCATTTTTTTTCTTCAAAATGTTTTCGGTTTTCTAATAGTAGAACGGAAATTTTATTTTAAGGATATTAAAAGACAGTAAAACCTCGTCCTAAATGGCAATTTTCATTCAAACATTTTTGGAGCAGTTTTTATGAAAAGGGCGTTTAAAGCTCTACTGTAAATTCGAAATTTGAAGCTCTTTTTCACAGAAAGTTTTTGGGATTTTGAAAAACTTAATTAGAAATCATTAAGCGCACATTAACTCACAAATACTATAGTGTTTACAAAATGATATAAATGTGCATAATAACGGCGTGAGAGATCTTCCAAAAGAATTATATTTTTGTAATTTTAGAAACAACACAACACAAAATATCCCAAAACGAACTTTACATCATATTAAACTGTGCAATTAGCAATATCCCTTTCAAAAGTTTGAAGGAAAAATTTGTTCCGTTTTTTGAGAAAATGGCGTTTGAGCGTTTGGAAGCGAAAATGGCGTTTCAGCAAAATGCGAAGTTTTGAGCTTGGCAGAAAATTGTTGTTTTTTCAAGAAACGGTATATGATAGTATTTAAATCAGATGTAAATATAATAATTGGAACAAATCGTCTTAAATATAAATATTAACGACAAGAGAGACACGTCAAAAAATTACATTTTTGTAATTTTTGAAAAACAAAAGGAAGAGCAGTATGGCGTTTATGTCATCTCATAGAGTACATTTAGCACATCCACACCAAAAGTTTAAAGAAAACAATTGGAACCGTTTTCGAGAATATCTTGTTTTTGTAACTTTTTAAAATTGCAAATATTGCACGAAAACTACTAAAAGTTTCAAAAAACCGTAGATGATTTTAATGAGAGAACTAATTATGGACAACCAATTAATTTGAAGGAAAAACCTTTATCTCAAATTTTGTAGTTGTAGGAAGACGCCGAAAAAATCATACTTTTGCAATTTTCGAAAATTCAGAGTTAACCGTGAAAATCGGACGTATGCCACTTTTATGGGTGTATGTTACTCTATTCTTACAAGAAATTTAAAGAAAAAGTTTGGACCCGTTTTTGAGAAAATTAGGGAAATGTGCGGAGGGCTTCATTCTTATTCTACGAGAAAACGCAAGAAAAAATGTCGAGCAGTTTTCGAGAAAATTTTGAAAATGTCCGGTGAGCTTTATGTTAAGTACCCCTAAATTTTAAAGTATGTTTTCAAAATCTCAAAGCTTCGAATCGAGCCAAATGGACAGGAGTTTCTTCAATTTGGAAAAAATGCTACTCATGGTTTAGGCACTAGTAGTGTTCACAGACAGTCGTTTCGCCGTCAATTGGTTTTTCGGTGTCAAGGACCCACAAACCAGGAATCCTTGCTACACGACGCTGTAGAGGTTTTTTCACCTTAATGTAGCTACTGGATTTAGCCACTATTTGGTTATCAGGGCCCGATAATTGTTTTTCTGCTGAAAATCTGCTGTTTTTTCGCGCAGAGTTACAAAACTTTCTGCATACTACGTATATTACTCCGTAGATACGTACGTATACTGGAAAGTAAAAACAAATTGGATGAGTAAGGATTGAATATCTTACGTAAATTGTTCTTGACGATGTAAATAGAAAGTGGCCCCCAGGATTCTCGCAGAACTACTCCTTAATTATGCGTTGTGGTTGTGGTAGACCGAAATTTGTTTTAACAAAAGTTCATGTGGTAAACGCGCAAAATCGAATCCCTTTTTTTTTTCGAGTGGAAACATACCGCGATTTGCTACGCTTTCCAAGTTGTGTAGTGCGTCGACTTCTCCCACTGAATACGATCAATAGCTTTCGGCGAAGACATGAAAAAAAGACACCTCCCTGTCGGTCTTGACATACTTCAACTATTGGAGGGTGTCGGAAGCGGGAGAGGCCGCGCGCGCGAAACGTGTATACAGCACGATCGCGAACGTCTTGAAGGGATGGTAAAAGCAGCGGTAATGGAGGAAAGAGCCCCAGCGGTCATGCAGAGTGCTGCGGGTTATGAAACGCCCCGCCAAGGCCACCACTGACTGAGCGCCAAGGCCTCCTGGCTCGGCGCGCCTTGATAAGCGGCGCGGCGGCGTCCTAGTTTCTGCCTCTCGCGGGCGGGGCGGGGGCGGGGCGCTACGCGTCTGCCGCGTCGGCCGGCGCGGAACCACCCGGGCTGCGCGCGGGGCGAAGGGTTATCGTCGCGGCTAATTGCTTCGATTCCCCCGATAAACGGGCGGGGCGGGCGTCCGAAAGACACAAGGACGAAGCTTTCAGTTGGGACATTCTCTTGCGTAGGACACACTAACATGTTCGAAATGTATACTGTGAAGATTACTTAAATACAAATTGTGAGTTAAAGTTTTACTGCCTTCTCGAGGGCAGGCCTATGGATTTTCTGATAATTGCCCTATCTGCGAGTATACATTTTATCTAATCATTCGTTTTGTTATGCTAAAAATATGTGAGTAATGACTTACCTTGCTCTTATAGGTTAACAATTTATAATACATCTGAATAATAATATTAATATTAATAAGAGGTTTATATAAAATGTTCGATGCGGTGTTAATATAATAGGGCGCAATAGGTTCGTATAGCTGTCTCAGAAGTTAGTGACAAAAGAAGTTCTTTCGAATTCTAAGTTTATATAAAATACGTCAAACAGAAAGTATACTTTGGGAGATGTCTCTGTTATTGACAACGATCGCATAGTGTGGTGTTGGCAAACGCATAAGCTCTCGCGTAGTTTTCTGTCCGATAAAGCATCGTCATTCGAAACCTTAATCCGAGGCAGTGCAGCGATATCTCAGCTGATATCGTTAATATGTTTATTAACTGTGGGCGATGCAGATCGGCGCGCACTGTGATAACAAGGGGACGTATTTCAATGCAATGCATTTTTCCCCTTTAGGACAATGTCGTTTAAACTAGAAATCCTTTTCTGTTACGACAAAACAAAATGACATACGTTTATGCCTTTTTGAATTTTTCGTTGATTTCGACTTATAAGTCATTTTACTACATTTTTCGCTGATTTCATCGATTTTAACATCACATTAATGGTACTGGCTTGAAACAATATTTTTGAGGGGCAAGAAATGTTCACTTCACAATTTCTGAGTAACCTATTCGATTTCTTTGCTTATATATTGTATTGTCAGCATTTGTGAGTACTATGTAATCTAAGTTTCCTGACGTTTATCTGCGCCGTTGTCAGATCGGCCGATTTCGCGATAAATGAAGGCAGAGATTATCTTTTAAAGAACAGTCCAAACACAAAGTTTACAAGCTGAGTCCAATTAAACAAAAGGAAGAGGCTCGATTATTCCAGTAACATATCCAACAGCTTGAGTTATCCAAACTGGTTTTGATCAAATTTTTTACGTAATTGTTCTTTATTTTTAGGGAATTTTAAAAGTATTTTAAATGCATTTTATTGATCATTTTTGGCGATGTTTTAGGTCGTCAAAATCCGCCCCCCTAGTGATAACCGCTCCCCATACCCAAGCTTGGCGTCGCCACGGAGTGCTTCTCGTCGCCGTACAAGCTAGGGACGCCGTCCATCTATCAATCCCAAGTTCCGTCTCTCGCAGCAGCGACTAATGAATTATGGAGCGCGATTACGTGGCACGTGTTCTGCACCCGCTCGATGACTTAAGAGTTGCCTTAGATACTTGGCTGTCCGGTAGATGCCGCATCCTAGGCACAGTTGCCAGACAACTGGCTCTTGGACGCGGCGTCTCCTGGATAGGTAAATAACTATTTATTTCTTTGACGGAAGTCTACTCTTTCGATGGGGTTTCCCCTTTAAAGATTTATTAAGCATTAAAGTCTTACAGCGTTATTAAAATTACAAATCTCTTTTACAATTATAATGAAAATTGCGAAATGATGAAGCATTACTACATAGCATATACAATAGTACATCAAAATAATGAAGATTAAGAAGAAATAAGTGAAAGAAGCATAAACAAACTAAAAATATTTTTCAACATAGCTAACATAATTCCTCATGTTCATTGTTATTTATTTCTTACTTTAAAGTTTATTCTAGAAAATGTAACATTTTAATAGTCTAATTTACTGTTAAAAAGGCGTATTCCCTAACTACAAGTGTCGGGTCGGTTGACGCCGTATATGTTTCCTCAGAAAGTAGAGTGGTCGTGATGAGGGCGTTCCCAGCGGCAATGAGTAGCGGCAACTGGCTGCACTCGGGGGAATTGGCTGTAACCCTCGACGCAGCCGAAGGCCAGAGGTTGAGGCAGTCGCTTCCAAAGCAACAACGAGTATATGTGGTCTGGGAACTACCCGGAAGTTGCGCATTACATGGTTACGTCACTTTATTCTTCTTCTTTTTCTTTTTTTTTAATTCTACGAGAGAGAAGTCCTCCTGCTTGGGTTTTCCTGCAGCAGTACATCGCACCTTTCGCCATGGTTCCGTGCATCAGGAGGTCGGAAATGTGAAAGATTTCGGTGTCAAATAGTTAAGTCAACTAATCATTGACGCAAATGTCTATGAAAGGTTCTGTCTGTTCAGTTAACAAGTACTTATGGAAAATAAGCAAGTCGAGTCGAGGGTCATGTTTGTGTTATTTGAGCCGGTTTTAGAGTACTCGCCATTATATGGGAAACAAAAAAAATTAATTACATCACAATGCAGTTAGGTATTTGCATATAACGATGTGTGTTACTTTACTGTTACAGTACTAGCTTGAATTTCACTAATTAATTCGAATGGTAGTGAGAATAGGAATTCCCTCTACGAGCTGGACGATATGTTTACTAATCCATGCAATCTCGAAAGGATGAATGTAGGGTATATTCTTTCATTTGAGTTTCTTTAACTCCTGTTCTTCGTGTTTTCTCAATCGGTTTTTATCAATATATGAATTCTTCTAAAAAATCTGTACTGAATTCCCGTTTCCTTTCGGAATTATCTTTCCGTATTTATTATCTCATTTGAAAAAACGTTTTACAAGTGGGGCAATTGTGATAGTGGCATATATCTGGATGTGTTTCTTTATTTATACTAAAAAGGTAAATTTTTTAGATGTCTATATAGTTATACACTCCAGATGTAGATAATTATACACTCCTTTGTACATTTTTCTTATCTTATCATGAACTGAATAACCTGTGAAGATGCAACTCACCATCTGCCCAGTCACTAATTGCATTTTCTTGTACTTTAACATTTTTATGAGTTTTTCTCAATAATTCAGTTGACATGTTCTTTTTCATCTTCCTTTCAATATATTTTTACTTATGTTTTTGCTAAATAACTCTCGTACACTCTGTGTAGAGGAAGAAGTGCAAATATTTTGACAAAAAACATGTTTTGGTGTTACTGATAACAAAAAAATGTTTATTTATAAAATGTGTCAAAAACTATTATTGTTTAATTATATAATTGGTTCACATTTTCTTTCACTTAATTATTCAGTATACTGTAATCAAAGTCGGCCCAGCATCTTAAACTATTTTATTTAACCTAAATTTGTAAGTTTCCAAACTTTTGGATCATTAGAAAGTTAAAATTAAATCATAATTATTATTTTTTAAACATAGTCATTTTATGTACATCAAATACATGAATTGTCGTATATTTATATTCATGCTAATGTTACATATATTATTACCAAAAATTGAAAATTTCATGCAAAAAAACGACATTATTCATGGAAAATGTAGGTAAAACGATAGTTTTATGTGGTAAACCAATTGTTTAGGCAATACCACATAAGGTTTTAGATCCACAAAGAAACACAATTTGGCGTATTAACAAAAAAAGTAAGAAATGATAATACATACTGTCAAGACATTATCACAATTATTCGGACTCCCAGTGAAATCGTTACCAAATACAAGAAAATATTCAAAGTAAAAGACAATTGGAGTTGTATGTTAGAATTACAATTTAAACCACTTTCAAAACACTTCATATTTTAAATCTTGAAGAAAATCTTACTCTATTAATTTTTAGCCAAGAACTCTAGATACCACAAATGCTGACATGAATTAATTCACGTTAGAAGTACTACATTTAAAGAAAAAATAATATAACCTGTATTTAGATATGCAAATGTTGGGAACGTTAGTCATCTAGTACACAAAAAATAAAAATAAACTTTTCTTCATTATCATTCAAATTCTTATTCTCAATGTTGTAGCGTAATTGATGAAACAACCATAAAGGTAAATTAAAATATCTGTCTGAAACGTAATTGCCAGTTTTATAAATATTTTAAATGCGACAGGATCATATATGCCTAAATACATTTGCGCAAGTAACATGTAATATAAAACTTATTTGTTTCGTTCAATATGTTCATCAAGCCATTGAAACATTATAGCAATATTGGAACAACGTACAACGTACTTGTATGTGTATTCACTTTCGTTTCGGCTTGTTTTGTATCAAACTTTACTGCAACGTTCGGAAAGCATCTAACTACCAACGTTCACAAACGGACATGTACATTCATAGCCTGATTCAAAGCTCAATACTTTTCCTGATTCTGAACATTGATTAGTATACCCGAACATTCATTAGTAGATCTCAGTCATTGACATCCTCTGGTGACGCCCGGGTGAAACTATTGCTCATTGATGCACTCTTGAATCTGTGATGTAATGAGACGAAAAATGTTCAAAAACGTAAATATTTTGTAAAGATATTAATGTTTATGATTGTAAATCAGGCACGTCAAACCGCGCCCACACAAACTTCTTGCTCGCCTGGGGAGCCCGGCGCTCCTACGGCCCCGGGCAACTTCCCCTCACTCCGCACTCACTTCCCCTTCAAATGCAGAAGGGGTGTACATTGGCAAGCTGAAGCGGAGCGACGCGGTGAATAGGGGCTACGTAGGAAAATATGATGGCCAGATATTTTCTACCAAATAACAGACGGTTGTATTCTGTTTATACAATCCTCTGTATATATGTATATCTTCACTTATTACTTTCTCGTATACGTACGTAAATACGGAGTAAGATATGTAGTATAGAGAAAGTTATGTAATGCTGCGGAAAATCGATTTCGAGTTTTCGAAATACAGGTTTGGTGTCACCTGATACCGAAAAAGTGTTGTTTTTCAAAACGTCCGTCTGTCCCACGGACATTTACAATTTTGTCAAAAACGGCTTCAATTTTTTTCTTTAAATTTCTTGTTCGAATAGAATAAAATACACTTATAAAGGTGGTGTCGGTCCGATTTTCACGGTTTACTCTAAATTTCTGAAGATTTCAAAAGTTAGAATTTTTTCGGTGACTGCTTATGATTACAAAATTAAAGATAAGGATTTTTCTTTAAATTAAATTTTTTGTGTAATCCTTTTGTAAGGTCATGTACGTTTTATGAAACTTTGGGTAGTATGCGCGCAATATTGCGAGCAATTTGTGCAATTTTAAAAAGTAACAAAACAAGATTTACTCAAAAACTGTTTTTTTTTGTAAACGTTTCGGTAGGTATAGTGCTAAATGCACTCTTCTTAGATGACGTAAACGCAATCTTGCCATATTCTTTGGTTCTTACAAAAACTACAAAAATGTAATTTTTTGACTTGTATCTCACGTCCTTAATATTTACATTGGCGGAGATTTGTTCACATTATTGGATTTATGAGTATATGTGTTTTAAATAATGTCATAACGTTTAATGTAATAACGTTTCTCAAAAACTCAACAGTTTTCTGTTAAAATGAGCTCAAAATTCCACATTTTCAGGAACGCTCGATGGTATTGTCTCAAAAACTGTTCCAAATTTTTCTTCAATTCTTTCCGATGGATCATGCTATAATTGCTCTGTTAAAAACGACATAAAGTTCATTTTGCTGCATTCTCTTGTTGTTGTTTTTTTCTAAAAATTATACTAACTTATTTTTTGTAAATATATTTTACCCATTTAAAATGCATATTTCCAGATACTTGTAAACACTATTGGATACGTTAGTTAAAGTGCTTCAAATAACCTGTATTGAAGTTTTTTGAAAACTCAAAAATTTGCTGTGAAAAGAGTTTCAAATTTCGCATTTACATTCACACTTAAACGCCATTTTCTTAAAAAGGTTCCAAATTTTCCAGTGAGAATTGCCATTTATGATGAGGTTTCACTCTTCTTTAATATTTTTAAAGTAATGCATGTTTCTACTAGGAACTCGAAAAATGAGAAAATGTCAAAAAAATGTACTGTGGACGGCGATAAATGGCAGCTGGCAAGAAGATGGGGAATACTGTAAATCCAGTCCTAACCAACGAAAATAACAGAAACTTTACTACAAGAAATTCCGTGCGATTCTGTAGCACCACTTGATACTATTTGATGTTTATTTTCTTTCTAAATTCTCCCTTATATAAACATCTTGGTTAAGTGACAGGAATATGTTTTAATGGCGAATTCTTTCCTTGATTTGTTTTGTGTTGTGTTATTAAATCATTCAATTATTTATTTATTTATCTATAATGTGAAATAAGTTAAAAAGTCTGTGTGAGTTAATTCCGCTTGCGGACAGATAGCGCTTTTAACAGACAAGAATATTCGTTGTTGCTTTCAACTTGCTGTGATATAAAAGCACGAAAGAAAGTGCACGCTTTTATATCACTCTTAAGTAAACAGGATTACAAAATCAAGATTCTTTTGATTTAATTTTTTTAATTTTTCTCTCTATTGAGAATTTGGAAACAGACTGATGTATTATTTCATCGTAATAGATACTTTATTCGCGTTAAAGAGAAAATGGGAATAAATATAGCTAAATTTGACAATAATTGACAAGTAACTTCTCTCAAAGACTGTCATGGGCCAGGTATCCAGTGACGTAACGCCAGTCTGGAGGAATTTGTACAATGTGCTTTCACATCTCGCGACAATTTCTCTTGACGCAGCTCTAGTGAGATTGGTACATTGCCGCAAACTTGACATACCTATTGTAAACCATAGACTACAGTACTTCTGGCCTTCAAAAGAAGCTAGTAGAAAATTTTCATCGATTCTAGTTCAGTACATTCAGCGATTATTCCCTTAATTAGAATAGATATAGATAACTGAGGCTGCTTTAGTTGAAGGATCGCGAAAGCAATGATGAATCTTTTGTCTTCGGAGAATTTTTTGTAATTCCGGAAATTATCTATGGTTTGAAACAAAATGTTTATTGAATTTTTAATTATCCTAGTAGAAATATAATTTCTAGCAATTTGTTTAAATATTGTAATGATGTTTATTGAATTTTTAATTATCCTTGTAGAAATATCATTTCTAGTAATTTGTTTAAATATTGTAATGAAGATAAAAAAAAG